AAAAAAAAAAAAAAAGAAAGAAAAAGAAATAGCACCATGATCTCAGACTCAACACATCCAAACTGAAACTCTGCCTGCTCAAAATCAATGTGTCAACATGAACAATATTATTTCCTTCCACATTCGGAGACGTTCATATATCTCAGACTCTGCGGGCTTTGAAGTTGCAGAATTTCATAATACATCCCGGCACAGAACTTTGCATACAGAAGGTATTCGATGACAACTGAGTGGTGTGCCCTGGAGCCTTTCGATTTTAGGAGCAGTACAACTTGGTAGTGAAGAGTAAGGGTTTTTAATCAAAGGGCCCAAGTTCAAACCCTGACACGGCCACGTCAGTGTATGAGACTAGTCGTATCAAGCAACCCATCTAAGCCTCAGTTTCTTCATCTCTAAAATGGAAATTATAACATCACTTGCCTCAAGGACTGGAGACAAACGTCCACAAAGTGTCAAGCACATAGTAAATCCTCAATAAAAGCTGGTGGTTATGTATAACATCATTAATTCAGTGCCTACCAGGCACAGACCACGACAATGCAACGAGTTTCTCGCACCCTTCAATGTGCACCACACTTTTGTCCTTCCCATTTTACAGACAAGAAAACTAAGGGTCAACAGAATCGAGCTTGTTTGAGGTCTTGGAAACATCTTCCAGGGCGCCCGTAATTCCAGCTACTCGAGAGACTGAGGCAGGAGAATCGCCTCAGATTGGGGCTAGAGGAACTTCTACAGGAAGATTATTTAGTTCAGTGATGGTTCTCACCTGTGTGTGTGGGAGAGCGCGGAGGAGACCACCCCCCACACCCTCCCCCCCCCCACGAAACCCCGGACATCTGGCACTGTTTGGAGTTATTGTTGATCCTCACGATTTGGAGGATGGGGATACTGCTGGCATCTAGTGGGTAGAGGCCAGAAATACTGCTCAACTTCCTAGATTGCACAGGGAAGACCCCCACCACACACAACCAAAAACTATCTGACCCCAAACATCACTAGCACCAACGTTGAGAAACCCCTGCCTAGCCAGATCGTTCTCCTGATCTTCTACTTCTGGAGCACTGGCCATCCGGATCCCAGATGAACACTTTCTAGCAAGGGGGCTCAGTCCCGCCACGGGAAGCCCGTGCAGAAGTTGAGCAGAAGTTCTCCTTCTCCTCCTGCTCTGCACACAGTAGGGACCAAAACCCATTTTAACAAGCCCCGCAGCCCAGAGCACCGGAAAAGGAAGGAAGAGCATCCATCCTCCATTGTTCAACTCCGGGCAGCTTGTGTCTCCAAGACACACACACATATTTCACAAATCCTAACGTCCCACGCCCCACAAACAGCTTTGTTAGAGATGGCGCTCAAAAAAAAATAGATGCAGTTTAGATTCCCCACCCCCCCGCCAGGACTCCCAGTGTGCCTACCGAAGGGTTGCACACTTCTCAAAGGACCTCGCACCGGCCGCGGTGTTCTGACAACGACCACAAAAGAATCTGTGGGATTTCCCGGGGGAGCGAGCCCGTGGGCCTTGACCTCCGCGCGCTCAAAGCGCTCCCCGCGCTCCCCCGCCGCTGGCCTCACTCTCCCGCCCCCGGAGCCCGGGCTTCCAAGACGACCGGGGCCCCGGCGGTGCAGCCCGGCCCCCTGGCGCGTGCCCACGCCGTGTCCCTCTCGCCCGTCCCTCGAGGTGCCCGAGGAATCCGGCCCCGGGGCCTGTGGCTGGCGCCCACATCGGTCCGCCCCGGCCCGCCTGCCGCGGTCCCCGTGCGCGTCCCCTCCCTCGGTCCGGCGCGGCCTGGGCCTTGGCCGGTGCAGGCCCGCGGGCGCCCCGCGGCCAGGCCAGGCGAGCTCAGGCCTGCCGCGGCCTACCCCGTCGGGCGCCGCCGAAGGCCCCCCCACCGCCTCACCTGGACGCGGGCGGGCGGGCCCGGGGCTGCTCCGGGGCGGGCGGGAGGCGGCGGCGGCGCGGCGCTAACGGCTCCGCTCGGCCTCGGTAGCGGTGGCGGCGGTGGCGGAGACGGCGACGGCAGCAGCGGCTCCTCCTCAGCGCGCACGACCCGCTCCGGCCCGCGGCCCGGACACGCCCCCCCGGCGCGCGCGCCCATTGGCCAGCGACCGACACGGCGTGCTGCTCATTGGTCGGCGTGGCTGTCGCGGCGCCCCCAGGCGCGCGGGAGAGGCGGGACTTCCGGTCGGCGCCGCCTGCGGAGGGCTCCGCGGCAGGCGGAGACGCGGGAGGCCAGCTATGGCCGCGGAGGGGGCGAGCTGGGGTCTGGATCTTGGAGGCTGACGAAATGCGGTGACTGAGGAGAGGCGCCTCTGGTCGAGCTCTTGCCGTGTGTTCCGCACCTGCCTTTCCTGCCGCCGCCTCCCATTAAGGTAGGAACGGTCAGCACGCCGAGGTTACGGGGACAGGACCTGTGTTCGAATCCCGGCCCCGACGTTTCTGCACTATGTGCCGTTAGGCAGGTGCTGACGTCACCTCGCCAGGCCTCAGTTTTCTTCTCTGGTGCACTGAGGAGGCGGGGCATGGAACGTGGTCAGCTTCACATTGCTCTTTGAGCAAGCCAGTTCCTGAAAGCTCAGCTTCTTATTCGTTCATTAAAATGTCATTGAGCGCCCACTGTGTGTCAGTCACTGTATGGGCAGTGAGCAGAAAAAAAAAATACCTGGCCTTATTGGGCTAACATTCTAGGCCAGCGCTGCCTTAGAATGCCTTAGTAGAAATAGATGCAAGATACATGTCTTAATTTTTTTTTATAGAGATGAGATCTGGCTCTGTTGCCCAGGCTGGTCTTGAACTCCTAGACTCAAGTGATTCTCCTGCCTCCGCCTCCCAAAGAGCTAGGAGCTAGGATTACAGGTGTAACTGCACTATGCCTATTTTTTTTCTTTTTCTTCCCCACCACTCTTTTTTTTTTTTTTTTTTTAAGACTGGATCTCACTCTGTTGCCCAGACTGGAGTGCAAGGGTGTGATCATGGCTCACTGCAGCCTCAAATTCCCTAGCTCAGGCAATCCTCCAACTTCAGCTTCCTGAGTAGCTGAGACTACAAGACGTGCCACCATGCCTAGCTAATTTTTTATTTCTTGTAGAGATGAGATCTTGCTATATTGCCTAAGCTGGTCTCAAACTTCTAGACTTAAGCCATCCTCCTGCTTTAGCCTCCCAAAGTGTTGGGATTACAGGCATGAGCCATGGTGCTCAGCCTATTCCTTTTTTTAATTATATATTTTTAGAAAAGTTTATTAGAGATTGGGTCTCACTATGTTGCCCAGGCTGGAGTGCAGTGGCTCTTCACAGGCACAATCATCCCACAGGTTTAACTCCTGACCTCAACTGATCCTCTTGCCTCAGGCTCCCAATAGCTGGTACTATAGGCACAGGCCACCACACCTAGCTCACGTGGGTAATTGTTAATTTTTTTTTTTTAGATGGCGTTTTGCTATTGTTGCCCAGGCTGGAGTGCAATGGCACAATCTCAGCTCACCGCAACCTCCGCCTCCCTGGTCCAAGTGATTCTTCTGTCTCTGCCTCCCGAGTAGCTGGCATTACAGGCATGTGCCACCACACCTGGCTAATTTTGTTAGAGACAGGGCTTCGCCATGTTGGTCAAGCTGGTCTTGAACTCCGGACTTCAGGTGATCCACCTGCCTTGGACACCCAAAGTGTTGGGATTACGGGAGTGAGCCCCCACGCCCGGCCGTAATTGTTAAATTTTAAAGTGGCTAGCATTCTGGGTCATCACTGTGCAGTAGAAGTATAAGCCAGCCACTTATACTTGGTCAGCGAGATATGTAATTTAAATTGATTAAATTGTTAGCCTTGTTTAAAATAAAAATAAAAACAGGTAATGTTAATTGTAATAATGTGTTTTATTTATTTATTTTTTTGACAGAGTCTCGCTCTGTTGCCAAGGCTGGAGTGCAGTGGTGGGATCTTGGCTCACTAAATCTTCTCCTCCTGTGTTCAAGTGATTCTCCTGGCTCAGCCTCCCAAATAGCTGGGATTACAAGCGCCTGCCACCACACCCCTCTAATATTTTTTTTTTTTTTAGATGAATCTCACTCTGTCTTACCCAGGCTGGAGTACAGTGGCATGATCTCAGATCACTGCAATCTCCGCCTCCCACGTTCAAAGCAATTCTCCTGCCTCAGTCTCCCCAAGTAGCTGGGATTACAGGCACAAACCACCACACCTGGCTAATTTTTGTATTTTTGGTAGAGACAGGGTTTTACCATGTTGGCCAGGCTGCTCTTGAACTCCTGACCTCAGGTGATCTGCCTGCCTTGGCCTCCCTCCCAAAGTGCTCAGATTACAGGCATGAGCCACCTCACCCAGCCTAATTTTTGTGTTTTTAGTAGAGACGAGGTTTCACCATGTTGGCCAGGCTGTCCTGCATGCTGTTTGTTTGTTTGTTTGTTTGTTTGTTTGTTTTGAAATGGAGTCTCGCTCTGTTGCCCAGGCTGAAGTGCAGTGGTGCAATCTTGGCTAACTGCAACCTCCACCTCCTGGGTTCACGCTATTCTCCTGCCTCCACCTCTTGAGTAGCTGGGATTACAGACATGTGCCACCATGCCCGGCTAATTTTCTGTGTTTTCAGTAGAAACAGTCATTATATTGCTCAGGCTGGCCTTGAACTCCTGACCTCAAATGATCCACCTGCCTTGGCCTCCCAAAGTGTTGGGATTACAGATGTGAGCCACCACACCTGACCCCTGCATGCTTTTGAAATCCAGTATGTATTTTATACTCCACAGCACAGTGCATCTCAAGTCGGACTGGCTACATTTCAAGGGCTAAACCATCACATGTTGCCAGTGGCTGCTGCATTAGACTGTGCCATGCTGGATGGTGAGTCAGAAGAGAAACCAAGTGGATTCCATGTCAAGTGTTGAACAGGCTAAGAAGAAAAGTAAATTGGGGAAAGAGCTTGGGGAATGTGGGATTTGCTGTTTGAAAGTGGATGGTTGGGGGCCGGGCGCGGTGGCTCAAGCCTGTAATCCCAGCACTTTGGGAGGCCGAGGCGGGTGGATCATGAGGTCAAGAGATCGAGACCATCCTGATCAACACGGTGAAACCCCATCTCTACTAAAAATACAAAAAATTAGCTGGGCATGGTGACACGTGCCTGTAATCCCAGGTACTCAGGAGGCTGAGGCAGGAGAAT